ACGTTACACGAGGTTTAGAATTTTGGAGCGACCGAGTCGCAATCTTCCGAACCGAACAATATGAACAAAACTAATTCTGGCTGATTATAACAAGGCTTCCATATGTGCTCGCTGAGGGTGTGACTTTGGATGAGTACGAATGTCGCACCGACAAGTTTAACGTTCATGGTTTATGGGAATGGACAAATTATAAAGTCTCAGTTTATGAACTTCCATTAGAACCACATGAAACTTGTATTGGCGCGATTACTAAGATAATTAATCGGAGCTGTAGTGCAGTAGACTTTACTGATGCGAGTATAATGAACTTTGGAGCAATTCGTAAGCATCAATTAATTAACTATATCAGTCCTATTTATAGCATCAAATTGATTTTCTTTCTTTTAAAGGAACTCGCGCTGATGGTTCTGGAAAAGAGGCTGACGCATCATTTCGTCCAATGAAATCAGGAGTGCCTGCACAAACCGGAAGTGATGGAAAGGTATCTTTTGTTTTCTCTATTGGCTTTGAGCCCTTTAGCATTGAAGTTTTACATTTTCATGATTTTAGAGAAAACCATGGCCAAATATTATTGTGGAAGTCGCATACTCTGAAAGTATAAATCACGTCTTCGAAAAGGTGAAAGATTACTGGCTAAAGGATCTTAGTCGCGCACATGACGTAATAGTTGTTAAAATCGATCCGATTTCTGAGGATGAAACACCTTCGCGCATGCGAGTAAGTTATACTTCTTAAAATGTAAGTGATGTTTTATTGCTTGTGTATCATTCTAAAGGATAAACCCATGTAGGCTTGGCATTTTTGTTCCACTGACAGAAGAACACGAAGAGGAGAACTTCAACATCGAACTCACGTAATGTCAAATATAGAATAAATTATCTTTTCTACCAATTTTCAAATTTTTTTAATATGGATGGTTTATTATTTTTATTACTAGTTTGAGTTTGGCATTCATGATGGAGCCGGGAATCCGTTGAATATTTTGCAGGGTACATGCCTCATTATACTTGTTACCCGAAACCCGAAACCTTTCCGAAACTTTAAAATTGGAATGTTAATAATTAATGCACATTTACTATAAAGTAACCAAAATTTTCCTGAAATGCAATCTAATTATACTATACTTTAAGTCTTAACGTTTAAAATCAAATTTCTAAGCCTTTCAGTATAGTGTTAGAGTTTCGGAAAGGGTTTCGGGTTTCGGGATTTTATATATAGTTCCGGGTTTCGGATAACAACTATATGCCTCATCAATATTAATTTGGATTGTCTCTACCACCAAGCACATCCTGATGTCCAAATTCCACGAACCATTCTTCCCGATCCCATTGTACTGGATTTTTTCTTTGTCAGGAATGAAATTCTCTGTGCATATAGAGAATAATAGAAGTTTTAGAATTTAGTGATTATTGTGATAAATGCACGTGCAATAAAGATGAATCGGGTCATAATTTATCTGAATAGTATCATAACAAAATGTTAACAAATTCATAGTAATAAATAAAAAATTGTTAGTTTTCCCGATTTTGTTTGTCTCTTGTATATCGATATGCGTATATTTAAAAAAAGAGATTTATTTAACTATGTGTTAGTGTAACTGGCATTATGCGTACATGCAATGATCACGGAACATTTAAAATTTAAATTTATTCTATAAGACCCAATTCTCGAAGATGCTCTGGAATAACTATATATGGGTCTTCGTAATATCAGACATACCTTAAAACAATCCAGTTTTCTTCGCACAATTCTTTCTTGAGTTGATCCCGATCCTGCTGTTTGATGAAATTATCGAGATCTCCTCTATGCAAGAATATATGATATTTTTCATGCTGTTGCTCCTATACTTCTATAGCTAGATCATACTGAGGACAATTGATATCGAGTTCTAGTCCTGTTGGATATTTTAATGTTTTTAAAAATTCAGGATAATGTATCTTAGGTGGTCTAAGATACTTTGATACAATTTCACAACATAATTTTTCATGTTTGTATCTTGTGCAATAGGGACACCAAGTATTTCCATTTTTTATATTATTAAATCGAGCAGTCCATTAATGGCCTTTAATGCATCGCCACAGTAATGATATCTTTTTCAAAAAGGCATTTTCATTCTTATTATATGCATACCGCTTAATATATTCAAGAGTGTAAGGTTTTCTATGAGAACACATGATCCATTACTTTTAATTTAAGAAAATGAAGCAAGCCATTCATGACCTTTAACACAACGCCATTACAACTTACTATTATTATTAATATATTTATCAGAAATGCAATTTCCATTTTTACTACGAGCATTACCTGCACAATACGGACACCAATGTCCATCTTTAATTTGAGAAAATTTAGCTATCCTTTCATGGTTTTCAGCGCACCTCCATTGTAATGGCATTACAGAATTAATAAAACTATTGGAAATACACTGACCACCTCGACTTTTTGCGATTCTACGTGCATCAATAATGAAATATTTAACTTGAAATGGTAATCCCACACAATATGGACATCATGTTCCAGAATATTTAATATTTCTAAATGGAGTTTTCCAGATATGTTCTTGATTGCATTTCCATAACATTGGACTCTTACTATTAACATACTCTGTTGAAAGGCATTGACCACGTTTAGATATTTGCGATTTGTATAGCATCTTCAAGAGTAAGCTTTACATGACCTGCACAATGTGGGCACCACGATCCATTACATTTAACTTTTTTTAGTAAAGCAGTTCATGTATGATTTTTAGAACAACATTATATTAATGGACTTTTTGCATTTTTATATTCTGTATAAATATATATTTCACCACGAGACTCAGCAATACTATAAGCATTTTCTAACAATAATATTCTTATTGAGGCTAGATTTTTTTAACTTTATCTTTTATCTTGAATTTATTATATTTAATTTATTGTATGGTATTACCACCTTCTCTGGCCTATGTGTTTCAGAATTAGCATTACATTACCAATTATTATAGGCAGTTCAAGAAGAAATGTGACAAGTTAACAATGTATAATACACATATCTATTTATTTGATTAATATATCTATTTATTATATAACTTATTCATATACAATCAGACCTTTCTACAGTCACCTTCTTTATAGTCACATTAATTATAATCACATAAATTTTTAAGACCAACTTATATATTACTTATAAAATTTAACCTTCATATAGGCACAAACTCTCTATAAACATCAAATTCTTAAAACCAAGAGTGTAATTATAGAAAGGTTTGACTGTATATTCTGTTTTTTTGCAATAATTGCTCAAAGTCAGATATTAAGGTTATTTTTTTATTTAGCATATATGTTCTCTTTTTCTGAACATGTATATAAGAATAAAACCACTAAGATATTTTTGAGAATTAGTATTTAAAATTTAATTCATTATCTTTAAAGGCTGGTAATTTTTTTTATTTGATTTTTTTTATATCAACTTGTTTTATTTAGCACAAAAAAGCCTCTTTGGTACAAATAAACTACAGAATTTATTTATTTTTTAACATCCACTTCAGCTTCAATTAGGTTGAATATTAATAGTTATTTTATTTGGAAATAGTAGCAAATAAGATGTTAAAACTATTATTTTAACTTCAAATTAGCAGAATTAATTAGCTTCTTAATAATCTAAAAAGTGACAAATAAATATTATATATATATATATATAGATTTTACTTTGGCAACCTTGCTGTTAACTTTTATTAAGATTTGTATTTACAAATTTGTATATTTTTTGATCTAATTTACTGGTTCAACATCTTTCAGTTGCTTTAATAAGTGCCCAAAGATGGTTTGTTACACTAGTTGAAGTAGTATCCAGATCCAAAGACTGTACTAAACTAATTTAAAAGACTATATAAAAATAGTCTAATATATTATATTAATATAATAAGAAACTAATTATTATTTTATCATTATAAATTTTATTCTACTTATTAAAAAGATCAAGTTTTTATATATATTTTTTTTTTTAATATTAAGGTGAGTACTTGTAACCCAGAATTTTATTAATAGTATATTTGGCTAATAGATGCTTTACAATTACAGAGGGCAACCATGGAAAGAGTGTACAACTAGTCACTCATACAACTTTAGTCATTGTCTAATTTAAGTAGTCCACTCGAAGGTTCTATACTAGCTGCTATACATGGAACCTGCTTGTAGGTTCCCTATTTAACCACTCTGTTTCTGTATCTACCCATCTACCTTTGACTACTAATGACCCTGGCCAATGTTAGTAAAAATATGCCATGGTTACTAAGTCTTTAAAACAGTTCACTCATATAGAGAACCTTTGACCTTATATTAAACCTTCCAGAATCTTTCATATCTCATTCTTATAGCAAACTTGATATTGCTATAGCCAAGACCAACACTGATAATCAGGGTGTACTATTAAACTGCTATGTCTTTGTAGAGTTCACTCTAATCTCAGTACTGACTTCACAACATATTCTTACTACTTTGGTATTCAATTCAAGTTCCACCAAGTTGCCATTCCAGATAGTCCAGAAAGGTAAATTGAAACTATACACTTTTGATTATATGTTTGTCAGTATGTGCCCTTTTTCTCTAGAACTCAGAAATTCTGATGGCCTGGTTGGTTCATTCAGTCCCTCCTCAAAGACCAACACATTTGCTCAGTTTTACAAGTTCTAGCTCCGTTTCATAAGTCTAGTCTTTACAGTAGCACTATCAAAAGTTCGGGTTACTTCTCTACTTGAGTCTTTCAAGTAGGCTTCTGTCTTCCTACCTGGTTCCTATGATTTACATAGCCTAAGGACTTATCTTGAGTTCACACCACCCAGTACCAGTTTGTGTTTCCTTGTACAACATTGTATGAGTGTCTAGACCTTCCAGTCATGCTAGTATGATATGGGTTACAGATATCTTATTCCAACCAATCACAGAAGGCAGTTAAACATAACACAAAAAGAATTGCAAATTTTCACCATCACTGGGATTTGAACTCTAGACCTGCCACTTGGGGGTTGACAACCTATCCACTTTACTAGATCACCACACTTCTTGTTTTTACATACTTCTAACTAATATATATATATAATAAATTATCTTTTTTTTTAGTTAAATCAGTAACAATAAATTTTCTACTATTGATACAGGGTACAAGAGTCGGGAACAGCATGATAGGGACAAGAAGGAATGTGATGAATTGTTGCTTTGAATTCGTTAACATCGCATAACGTCACTCAAGGCAGGTGAGGTGGATTTGATTTGGCACTGGTCTATGACAGTCTTAAGAATGTTATCAGAAGAGTTAAAGAAGCATAATGGTTTATTTTATTTTAATTGTTTATTTAAGTTTAACTAGCACTTTATTAATTAAAAACTTTATTTATTTTACAGGATAGGTTACAAGTCACAAGGCAATTCAGGTTTTAAAAGCAGAAAGGTACTATATCTTATGTATATGGCATCTATAGGGCAGAAAGGCACTCTTTATAGAACATTTTTAAGAGAGGAAACTTGGGACATAGCTTTAACACCCTTTTTCTCATTATCATAGACTGTTTTTCCCTTTTTTACTAACACTCTTTCCTTTTTCTTACAATTCATCCATCATTACTTTAGCATCATTCCACAATGGCATACAATTCAACATATAATGATGCATTGACATAGCCACAGACTTTTCCTGTCAAGGTAATGCCTTGACAGTTGGATTCCAAATCGAGCAGGTGGCTTTTTCTTCAATGGATCAGCACCATCACTTAATGAGAAGCTTGATTTGTCTTGGGTCACAGGTATTGTGGTATAACGGTTTTTGTGATACAGATCGTGGGTCATTATACAATGTTTTCTCAAGGTCCTAGGGTTGAATCTACCCATAATACTATATAAAAATTTATTAATAATTTTACTAATATTATATTAAGGAAGCTACTATTTTCACTATAGTTTTTTATTATTTCTACCATAGTTATACAAGATTATCTATTTTTTAGTTTTTATAATAATAATATATATAAACTCTCTAAATTTTAATATAAAATTTTCTTTTATCAATCCTAATTCTAAAATCTAATAAGTAAAAGTTTTTTGAACTTTTAATTAAAGTTGTAAAGCTTGTTTTTCTAATTCTAATGATGATTAAATTATTAAAATTAGCTTAGTAGATCTCAAGATATTGGAAATCAAAGAAAAAAGCAAGAAGATCTACAAATTGCCAGTTCTACAAAGTTTTATTGACAACAGTACTTTGTATAATTGGTAATTTGTAGATCTTTTTGCTTTTTTTTTTGATTTCTAATATCTTGAGATCTACTAGACTGATTTTGATGATTTAATTATAATTAGAATCAGAAAACAAGCTCTACAACTTTTATTAGAAACTCAGAAAACTATTACTTAATAAAAACTTCTTTAATTTTTAAAAAATATATTTCTTAAAATTTAATTGACTAATTAAAAATAGAATATTTTAAATATACCTAATCTTAAATTATTAATAAATTACTATTGCAAAGTATAGTTTTTAATAATAATAATAATAATAAAATTTAAATAAGTATTAACTATTTTAGTAGATTTAGATTGCAAATAAATGTATTTAAGCTTTTATTCTTAAATATAGTTTTTCTATTTTTGTACTTAGAGTTAGTTATATATAATTAGTATTTAACAATTTGTTATAACTGCAAATATTAGTTCTAATCATAAATTTATATAAAATTACTATTTGTATACAAAAACTTTATATAGTTACTAACATCAAAACTACTAATAAAAATATAAGCAAAACCTTATCTTAACATCAAAATTTTTATTAATTATTACTATATTTATATATTATAAACTAAGGTTTTAGGTTCTTTTGCAATATATATTAAGCTAAAAATACAATAATAATAATAATAATATATTTACAAATATTTGCAAAAGCATATATATTTATATTATAAACTAAACTAACTATAAAAATATACAAAAAGGTATATAATATCTGTAAACTAATAATTTAAATCTCAATAAATCTAGCTATACTAATTAGATACCAATATATTAAGAGCTGTATATATCAAATTAATAGCAAAAAAGCAAGAAACTATCAAAATTAACTAATTTAAAAAAAATTATTGTAAAAAGTAGATAAATAAATTATAGTTAGCAAAATTAAAAAATATAATATATATTACAAGAATAACTATAGCTTTATTTTAGTTAGTACTATATATTATTAACTAAAGTACTTTTTGCTTATAATACTTTTATAAAAAATATTTAAATACAATTTATAAATTCAAGATTAAAATTAAATAGATCTAAGTATTATTCTAATTAGTTATATATATTATTTATATTTAATTTTTATTAAATTACTATTAAACTGTAAAAAGTATTTTTTTATTACTGTATTTTTTTT